TCTGGTGAAACTGGACCATGGGAGCCAGCTTTCCAGGCCTAGTTTTGCTTGGCCCATTTTAAGTATGTGCTGTGGCTTTTCCTGATCTGCCAATTTTTGCTGCTATCATTTGTGCCTGGGATAAATCATCCCTGGCCTCCTCAGACAGTCATATTTAATGTCATTGATCCTTTGCAGGAACAATGCTCTGCATGCTCTTTGGGCATCCTGTGCTCCTTCCAGCCCACTTGCCCACTTGCCCACTTAATATAGGTGATATTAGCAGGGTTTTCCCATATCTTTATTTTCTTTGAAAAGGAATTGGGGATAAACCTGTAGTATTTTCTTTCTATTCTCCTCCTCCCCCTTATTCTTTATGTAGCAGAAATTCTTCAGTCTAAGGCAAGTGAATGATATCTTTTTGTAGTTTCCAGTACTGATGCAGGATTTTTGTGATACGTTTCTTTGTTTCTTACTGTTGGAATTTTGAGATTAAGATGCTTATGTTCAAATCACCATCTTACCCTGTTTGTTTTTATTGCCATCTGTATGCTGATATTGAAATTCAAAAGTGAAACTCAGAAGACACTGTTTGACACCTGAGAGACAGAATACTTACTATTTTCTGTCTCACTCTAGAGCTACAAACTCCTTTTAGATTTGCTTTGTGCATAACAATAAGAAATATTTTGATAAAATAACATTTCAGGTAAGGGTGTAGAATGAGTAAAGGCACAAAGTCAGGACATTAAAAAACAAAAACAAACAAACAAAAAACTCAGACCTTCAGTCCGAAAGCTGGATGGTGCAGGGGAGTCTTAGGATGGAAGTGTGTGTAGTACCCGGAAAGGCCTGGAGCTGGGCTTCATTCAGCTTGGGAAAGAGCTGTTGTGAGCATGTGATTGACATGACTGGTCTGCTTTACAAACATTAATCTGCCAATTGTGAAGGTAGCAGTGGCATAATGTGATGTTTTCCAAATGTAGTTAACCTGTGAATACTTTAACCCTCCGTCGGGCACAACTGATCTCAGATTCATTGCACACCAATTTTCAAATATGAAATATGTCTTTACCGTACTAAGTCACAAACATGACTGGCGATAGGTTACAGTAAAGGGGGAAGATACGAAAGTGATGAGTCACAATACTTAACTGTTAGATATTTGAAAATTTGTGTGCAATGAATCTGTGAGATCAGTTGTGCCCAACAGAGGGTTAAAAAGAATTACGTACAAGAGCTCACACGTTCTTGGATCAAAATACTCAACAGTGCAAAGTGGGCGTCCTGTCTGATGAACTAAGTGCTGTAGAAAAATCAACATTTGCAGACCCTGTTCTATAACTGAACAAGGAAAGCAATGAATTAGATTACATAATGTTTTTAAAAATTACCAAAAAATAAATTACAGACATGTGCATAATATGTTTAAATTATAATGAAAGATATGTAAGGTAGACCAGCAGTCAGTGAGCAGGTGACATGGTCCCTGGGAATTCTGCCCTATGTTTGTGCATTTGTCAATTCACCTACAATTGTCTGTCATTCTTAGGTATGGGTTGCCACTTTCTAAGCATATTATCTCATTAAAATAAGAGCAATGAAATTAATATTAGTAGTATTTTTCTTAAATATATGTTAAATACATTTTAACTAGAAATGCCATCAGCATTTTTTTTTAGAACCCTTGTATGCCTATCATAGGACACCATGCAGAATCAAAAATTTGAGAAAGGCATGGTCAAACGGAGCTGGATTTCCATACCAGAGTCACCATTTGTGAGCCAAGTGACCTTTGTCAAATTTTTCATCTAAAGTAACAGTTTTTGTGGAAAATTCAATTAGATAATGTTTTTAAGACACATGATACTTACTGTGAAGTGATATCATACACATATTCCTGTGGGAATTATTCATTATCATAGTTTTACAAGCTGGGAGCAGAAGGAAAACATGCCTTATGTTTGTTGTTGTTTTAAACATGGCCTCTAAGCACAAGGCAGCTCTTTCATCTGAGATGCATCTGAAGAAAGAGCAAACTATTAAATGCTGTAGGAAAAACGAATGCATTAGGTTTACTGAAAGACGGTACGTTTGTATTCAGTTGTATTTACAAAACCATATAAGATATATGTATTTTTGGGTGATTTGGATTGACCTTAGAACCTAATATTTGTCTTAGGAGGTAATAGCCAGTCTTGCGCAAATGTTTACCTGATAGTGGTACCTTGCAGTTTTTCCTTTATTTAATGAATTTGCTACAATACACCTGCTTATGCGCTTAAACATTTTTTAATAACCTTTATAGAACACAGAGTTCTTATTCTCCCTAGGAAGAGAGGAAATGTAATACAGTTGACCCTTAAATAACATGAGGGTTGGGGCACTGACCCCCTGCACAGTCGAAAAACCACTTATAAGTTTTGACACACACCCCCCAAACTTAACTAATAATAGCTTACTGTTAACTGGAAGCCTTACTGATAACATAAACAGTCAACACATATTTTGTATGTTATATGTATTACATACTGTATTCTTACAATAAAGTAGGCTAGAGAAAAGAAAATATTAAGGAAATCGTTAAGGAAGAGAAAATACATTTTTTTCTCTGTACTTACTGTACATATTTATTGAAAAAAATGAATGTATAGGTAGACCGACGTGGTTCAAACCCATGTTGTTCAAGGGTCAACTGTACTTCATTTATTGCTGGGGTTGTTACTGGTCGGTCCTAAACAATTCTAAGACAGGCTGGTATAAGGAATTTCAAGCGTGTTTATGATTAAAGTACTAATAAAACCAATAGCACTCTTAATAACTGTTTGCCATGGTTATTCAATGCAGTGTTTGTTTTGTACACACACACACACACACATACCACTGTTATATAACATAAGTGAGGATTTAGTAGCGTCTCTAATCTTAAACAACTTGCAGCGTTTTCTCATACTGATTCTTATTGTTCTAGCCAAGCGGACTGATCATTTGAAATGTTGTATTTGGCTATCTGACGAGATCGGGTGTGTTCAGGGTGGTATGGCCGTAAACTGTCTTGGGCTATCTGTGAAAGCAGGAGGACTGGGAATTGGTTCCTGTAATCTTGCAATTTTCTTATGAAGTCTAAATGAGTCTTCTTATTTATCATTTGATGTTTTGAATCACAGAGAAACTTAGATAATGGAAGGGAATAAGTCAGTAGAATGTAGGAGTCTCCATTTTATTCTTAATAAATTATCAAGGAACGAAATGAAAATTAACTTTTAAAAATTATCTTCCTTTGAGGAGTGCCCTGTTTCTACAAGGCCCTTTGATAGCAAGTTATTTAAATGGACTGGTAAGCAGGTGGCCTGCCTTATTTATTTCTAACCTTCCTGAGAATGGCTGGGACAGAAGTAGATACTTTTTCTGCTCATACATAACCTGACTTTATTCTCTTTCTGTATATACACTTCCTAATTTTATACTATGTAACACAATGGGGAGAATACAAAAACCAAGCCCATTCAATTAAAAAAAATTTTTTTAAACCCACCCTCCTACCAGTTCCTGAATGTCTAATATTTTCTTCCAAAGAAGTCATCAGTTTACTGATTTTTTTTTTCACTCAAAAGAAGGGACTGTGGAGACAAGAGTGCAGAGCAGTGTGATTTAAGTGTTGTAAGTTCTGTTTCACTTAAACTTGTTCTATTCATGTTGATTACAGATCAGCAAAAGCTTTGAGAATTAAGGACAAGTAAATTCAACCGCAGAAGCTTGTGAGTAGCAGGTTAATTTAAAAAAGATTAGTAAATAAATATTTTAAACTTCCACTGGCCTTATTAAAATATATTGCCAGAAATATTCTGTTTGAGCCATTCTCATAAATTAGTCATCTTCTTGCAAAACAGCTGTGGCAATTTGATACAATAAAAAGAGCAGTGACTTAAAAATCAGAAGATTGGGAGATCTTGTCTTGGCTCATTCACAGGGAGATTAAATGACATGCTAAAGTCCCCTAGATGAGGAAGCCCTGCATGGGAGGACTGAATCACATGATCTGTCTTTAAAAGACTCTTTTATGAATCTACACGAATTTACAAACCACAGTAAGAACTTAGCAGGGAAGTTTGGGTGAGAGTAGAAGCTTTGCCCATACAGAGTTGCCATGTTACTTATTCTAGAATACTATTACCATGCTCGCCCTTGGAAGGCAAACTATGCGTTGGAATTCTGTTGTGCTTAATAGATCGTAGTCTAGTTGGTTTAAGCGGAAAAGTATTACGTGGCTTGCAGGATTGTTGGCAGGGCTGAAGAAACAGATCTAGGCTGAGCTTCCAGGAACGACTCCCAAAGTTACAACACAGTACTGGGCTATCTGGGGAGCTGCCTCTGCCATGAGCAGGAGCCTTAAAATTGGGGAGCCGCCTGCCCAGTTGGGACACTACCACAGTTAGGAGGAGCATCTCGCCTCTACTACAGACTGTTTCGGCAATAGTGAATGCCTTGTACCCCGCCTCCCTTCCCGGACTCAGATCCCGCCCCAGTTCCTGCCCACGTCTTTTCTTATTGGTGGAACCTGAATCACATCTGAAATTCTAGTTGCAGGGAAGCCCTGAGCTGTCATCTTTCCAACCTCCGCATTCCAGATGGGGGTTGGAATACACACTGGCAAGCCAAACCATTGTATTCACCATGGACAGCAAACTATTATGATAAATAACATTTGTGGATTTTTGTTTTATGGGTTTTTTTTTTACAATTTGAAGAGTAGAATCATGTCCTTTTTATTTAGAGTTCATGTCATTCTACATATAAAAATACTGTTTCTGTCCATTCCCAAGAAAACATCTCTGATAAAAATTGAGAGCAGCACCTACATTATTTCCTGAAGATGCAAAGCTGATACAGAAAACAGGATTTTAAATTTGGGAGTCGCCTTCCAGATTGATTTTCTCCACACTGGTTCTGTTTCCATCCATGTCTTTCCCCTCATGAAACATCCTCCACCTTTTCAATTTTATTTGCTCTTTACCATGCAGACCTGTGCATGAAGAGCCCGAGCCCCCTGAGGTCGATACTCCTGGCCGGTGGCATGGTGTCTATGTGAACAGAGCATCGCCAACACCTTCCGAGTCTGCAACCACTGTTAAGTCCCTTATCAAGTCATTTGACTTGGGACGCTCAGGTATTTAAGCATTTCGTTTTATAAGCAAAGCTCAGGTTCAAACCATGGCCCCAGATAGCAAGGCTGTTCCCTGCTGTATACTGGCCCAAATTGATGCAACCACAAGGGTTCTCTCTAGATCATTCCACATGCAGCCACTGTACACAGAGACTGGCTGCAGCCTGGGTGGAAGCTTCAGTGAGATGATGATGGGGAGTCTGGTCCATGTATTATACAATCTCCTTTTTCTTCACCTTCTCCTTGCCTCCATTTTCTGCCTTGTCACCATCCTTTTCAGTCTCTATATTCATTAGATTAAGGTCCCTACTATCTGCCTTCTTACTGTCTTATGAGAATTAGCAGGGTCAGTCAGAGGCTTCATCTCCCAGGAATTGAGGTGCTGAGCCCGCATTCTCCTCTCTTGTTGGTACCTCTGGTCTCCCTTATCTTGCAGTGTGCGGAGAGACTTGTCTCTACCTGGTCTCGTCTTGTGTGTGACTACCTGTGCTGGTCTGTCATTCTTGATCTTGGTACAGTGCCACTTTTTCTGGAAATGTCTGGTTGACTCACAAGTCACCTTTATTCACTGTTATCTAATATATGAGAAAAGTTCATACCTTTATGCACATAAATGTATAATAGTAAATAGAAGAAAACGAATGTATTTATTCAAAATAACAATGTATTTCTTCCCTTGACTACAACAAATATGCTTGTTGTATTGCAAGGCTGTAGTAATAGCTAACCTTAGGATATGCCTGGTTTTCTCTGCTAAAATAGTTTTCAGCTAATTTAGATTAAGATTAGACTACAAATATTGAAAAATATGGAATTCTAGTGACTACATTCAGTCTATGAAGATAGGAAATGAATTAACAATGATGGTTTGTGTAAGAATTTTCCTGTTCCTTAGACTAAACGAGCAAACAAAACAGAAATAGACTCAAGATACAGGGGAAAAAAACAACAACTGATGGTTGCTAGATTGGAGAGGAGTTGGAGGGTGGAGGAGAAGGTAAAGGGATTAGAAAGTACAAATTGGTAGTCACAATATAGTCAATGGGATGTGAAATACTGTATGGGGAATATAATCAATAATGTTGTAAGATTATGTAGGGTACCAGATGGGTACTGGACTTATTGGTAGGATCACTTCATCGATTGTGTAGATGCCTGACCACTGCACTGTACACCTGAAGCTGTAGTAGAATAATACTGAATGTCAACTATAATTAAATACACACACACACACACACACATACACACAGAAGGTGCCAAAAAAATGTATACACATTTTAAGAAAGGAAAAAGCTGTATTAAAATTGTAATACTCAATATTTACCAATAATGAAAGATGAATACAAGTCACCTTTGACTTCTGCAATTACAAGAGGTGCTCAATGGGGCCAGCTGAGTGGCTCAGTTGGTTAAGAGCTCACTCAAGAGTGTGTGCTCTGAGCAACAGGGTCACTGGTTCGATTCCAGGCCTGAGCTGAGTTGCCAACAGGTAGCAGGATGGCTCAGCTAAAAAAAATTTTTTTTAATAAATAAACAAATAAACAAGAGGTGCTCAAAGTGGTTACTATCAGCATCCAGACACTTCTGATTATAGTGAACTACTGCTTGAGCAACGTTGACCAAAGTGTCCACTTGTTTCATGAGGTATGCCATTTCAATTTCTTCCCAAAGTACCACCAGTGTAGCCAGTTTTCTACGGTACACCACATCCTTTAAGGTCCCCCATAGGTAGAAGTCAAGGAGTGTTAAATCAGGAGAATGTTCTCGAATTTCAAATGCCACTTCAAAATGATCTTAACGCTCCTCGAATGAGTCGTGCTTCCGTCATTTTATTTCACTGTCCTGCCTGTTGCATGTTGACACCAGCATTCATTTGATTAACAAAAATCTTTTGAGTGAATGTCATAGTACACATTGCTACAGTAACCCAATTCAACTTCAAAAAGGAATACATAGATAACATCTCTTAAAATGTGTATACATGTTTTTTGTACCCCTGGTGTATATATATTCATGGGATGTAAAGTACAGCATACGGGGAAAAAAATAAGAAAAAAAAAAAAGAATTTTCCTGTTCTTTATTGCCATAGGTAGCTGGGTAAATGTAACACTTTAAAGCATCACAGGATACTTTTTTAGTCACCAAAAAAGTAACAAATGTCACTTACTATTGTAAACTGAACATATAAATGTTCCCGTCTCTTTTCTTGGCAGGTGGAGCTGGACAGAATATTCCTGTTCATAAGGCCCCCAGAAGCCCCCTGAGTGGCATACCAGTGAGGACTGCCCCTGCTGTAGCGGTTTCTCCAATGCAGGTAATCAGAAGAGCCTTGCATGTATGGATGGGGTCAGTGTCACCATGTTATAACAGTGTCCTCTACACAAGCACAAAGGGAAGTGAAAACCCACTAATTTACTTTTTGAGGCACATCGAACACCATTTTTAATAAACCTAAAATAGTTCAACTTTGATTAAAAATTACACTTTGATGCCTAATGAAGATCCAGAAGAGTAAACACTGTAAACTTCATACAATTTTAGTAACTTTCGTTGTTTCCCACAAGATGACACTTTTGAAGTTATCAGTTAAACGAAGATTGTAATTTTTCCTAGAAATGCACATTGAATTAGATGTTTTTCTCAAAGAATTGTTTTTTTAAAAAAATACCCCCAGAGAGAGAGAATGTTTACAACTTATAAATTCTTCAAGTTCATTGGATGCAACCTGTTACCTTCACCGTCTTCTGAAGGTTTTAGATGAAAGCTTCTTGGCATTTTGTAAGACCAGGGCTTTGATGTTATTAATAATATTCTGCATATTGCTTCTCCTGAGATTGATGTTGTTATTAATAAGTGTCATTTTCTGGTGTCCTTTGTAGCTGTGTATATTGTTTGGGAATCTCTTAAGTTTACTGTTTTGCCCTTAAAGGTATCTTCCACTGCCTTATATGTAAAACCAAATAAAACAATTATTTATTTTATAATAATCAAATTTATTTAATAAAGCAGAAACAGGTCATGCTTCATTTTTACTTATATTTATTGAGCTATAAATACTAGTTTGCTGTAAATATTTAACAACTGGCTCTTTGCGGGGGGGGGGGACCCTGATTTGTAGTTTGCCAGTTTCTGTGGTGTAAATACTCCCACCATTGTTTATTTCAAGCTATCTCCATGACATCAGTGAACATGGAGTTGAGATGTGCATTATATAGCATTTCTACAGTACAGAGACAGTAGGTATGAATTACCTCCATAGTAAACTGTAGTAAAATAATTAGGAAGCAGTGAGTTTTGAGTATTTATTACTTTTGCTTTTAATAAGTTCAATTTTAATAGTGGCTGTGTTTATCAGTTAGCTTGCAAAATTCCTGAAGATTTAGCAATTGGCCCTTATTTATTTATTTATTTATTTATTTAGGCCCTTATTTACAAGCAGGGACACACCAGCTGCAGCACACAACTGGCTGTAACTCATGTACAGTAAAGTACACACCTCTTAAATATGTCACTTGAATGTTTCCATCTGTATACACCTGTGCAACCAAAACCAAGATGGCATTTCCATCAGCTCAAAAGGCCCTCTCATGCCATCCCCAATATATAACCCCTTAGGAGTAACCATTATTCTGACTCTATTACTGTAGGTTAGTTTTGTGTCATTTTGGACTTCATTTAAGTAGGATCATAAAGTATCTTTTGTGACTGGACTGGTTTGCTCAACATTATTTAATCTGTGAGATTCATTTATTCATATTGTTGTATCAATTTGTTCTTTTTCATTGCTGTATAGTGTTCCTTTGTAGAAATATACCACAGTGTATCTATTCTACTGATGGTTGACTTTTGGAGTATTGTGTTGATTTTTAAATTATCTTTTCTGAAAAATTTCAGTTTAAAAAGGAAAAAGTTCAAAATCTCCCTTGCTTCTTAACCCCAGATATAACCACTGTCTAAGGCTTATTGTGTATCCTTATAGATATTTTTCTGTATCATAAAGGTGTGTGTGTGTGTGTGTGTGTGTGTGTGTGAAAGGAGAGAAAGTTTTATAAATTGAATCACACTATATATTATTCAGACACTGTTTTCTTTCACTTTTTCATTGTAATGTAATCCATGAGGGCAGGGATTTTTATCTGTTTTGCTTGCTATTATATTTGTTGTCTAGAACAGTGGCTAACACAGAGACATGTAGTAGAAGCTCAGTAAATATTGGTTGAATGAATGAAGGAATATATCAGAGACATCTTTAAATGTCAGCATTTGGAGAAATAGTTCATTTTAAGGCTACATCATATGTAGTGATTTATTTAACTACTCTATTGATGGGCATTTAGGTGTTTTAGATTAAACTTATTACAAAAACTATACAGTGAAACTTTTTTTACAAATAACATTCTACAGGTTCATCCATATCGTAGCAAGTGACAGGATTGCTTCTTTCTTAAGACTAAAAATATTTCATTGTGTGTAAATGCCACATTTTCTTTATTCATGCATCTGTTGATGGATATTCAGATTGTTTCCATCTCTTGGCTCTTGTGAATAATGCTGCAGTGAACATGGCCATGCAGGTATCTCTTCAAGATCCTGTGTTCAGTTCTTTTGGATAAATACCCAGGAGTGGGATTGCTGGGTCATACTGGTGTTCTATTTTTAAATTTTTGTGGAACCTCCCTACTGTTTTTCATAGTGACTACACCATTTTACATACCCACCAACAGTGTACAAGGGTTCCAATTTTTCCACATCCTCACCAATACTTGTTATTTTCTGGGGTTGTATTGTTGTTGTTGTTATTTTCTAATGACAATCCTGACAGGTGTGAGATGATATCTCATTGTAGTTTTGGTTTACATTTTCCTGATGATTAGTGATGTTGAATATCTTTTCATGTACCTGTATGTGTACATGAATATTACCAGGAAAAACCAGTATTTTTACACATATCCTTGACTATACATAGAATATTCCAGGAAGATACTCATAAAGCTGATTAATAATGATTACCCTCCTGGAAAAACACTGGGAGATGGGAGTGAAAGGGTAACTTTCTTTTCACTATATGTCCTTTCTGTTCCTTTTGAGGATTGTGCCAGTTGAGTTTATTATCTATATAAATAAATTAGTGGCTTTAAAAGCTCTAAGGAGCCTGAGAACTGTTGTACATTCACACATGCACACTTGTTTGTGCTGGACCTGATGTCACAAAGTCACCTATGCTGGTGTGCCCTTTGGTTTTTTAGAGGCATTCAACTTACACCAGTGTTCGGCCAGCCAGCAAAGGAGCGACTCAGCGCTTGGATCTTCCTGACCTTCCCCTCTCAGGTAAATCACCTTAAATATGAAGTACTTTGACTTACTTTTTTGTGGGGTTAACTTTTCGTCTTTTCTTTGCATGAAACTAAGCTTAGAAAAATAATCAGTGGCATTTATTCCAATCGATTTCAGACTCTAAATGTATGTTATTATGCACATTAGATCCTAACCATCTCCTGCTAGTTGCACTTCTCAGTGTGCATGTGTTGGGGAGAAACGTTAAACTTTGGGGGGTTTTTTGTTTGTTTTTTCCTGAATCTCAGGAGACTATCTTAAAATCTTTAAAAGTATTTTAAGAAAAAAAGTCATATCCAATTCTGAAGATCTGTTAATTCTATAACTCCTAAAATATGCCTGTTTTGAGATATCTTTGTCTTTGAGTGTAATCCTCTTCCTGTTGTTATACATATATTTTTAAAATTCACATCTTTATGATGAAGTGGTCGTTGTAATATGCAGCCCTCACAGTGTCACATTTTTTGCTCCTGTGCTGAAAGCTAATGAAAGGAGTGGTTAAGGAGGGAACTGCTTGGATTTGAATCTTGGCACTGCCACCTGCAGTCTGGCTTTGGCCCAGTTATTCTACCCTCTGTACTGTGGTTCCCTCAGCTCTAAAACAGAAATAATGGTGTCTACCTCACAGGATTGCTTCCAGGGTTGAGTGGACATGGCCTGGGGTTAAGTGAGCGCTGTAGAAGTCTTGGCTGTTGTCACCTTATCCACAGTTCACATGCCAAAACAAAGAAACATTAGAATGTTAGGATCGTCCAGAATACATTCCTCAGTGATTTATGTGTATGTCTGTGTGGTCACTGTCACGATGAAACAAAAAAGATAAAAAACACCAAATGATTATTTACTGGTGCCTATAAGAAGGGAGAGAAAGCCAAAAATCTAGATTGCATGCATAGATAGAAGTCCTTTGTTTTTAAGTATAAGACAAACTTTATATAACTTGGTGTGATTAAAAAGAAATTCCCACTGAACTCCTTTTAGATTATGGTCAAACAGTGTCAAGTTTATTCTTAAAATAGTTTCTGTGAGAAGTGTCACTCTTTGATTATAAATTTTTTTTACCTTACTACTTTAATTTTTTCCCTTCCAAATTTTGTTATCTTTTTCATGGAATTAATAAGGATTTTAGACTTAGATGAACACTGACACTGAGAGCTTAAAGATTATGTGGGCCTATTCCCTGTAGTTTACATGTGACAGATTCATGCACTAAAGAGACTAAATGATTTACAATGGCCACGCTGATTTTAAAAAGCTCTGGGACCAGGGTAGGATTTTTCCTGATTCTTTCTTCCCTGTGGCCTTTTTGCCATGAGGCTGCTGATTGCTCTGATTAGCAGCTTCATAAATAAAGGTTTACAAAGGACTTCAAGTCATAGTAATGACCTTTAGGAAGAAGGAAATGGTGTCCAAAGACCAGTGGGTGTCTAAGGTCAGGAGAATAAGAAAAAACAAAGCAGGGTTAAGCAAGTCCCTAGACCAGGTCGTTCTCTAGTGACACTTTAGTAAAAATGGAGGGAAGGTCAAAACAGAGTATTGAAAACCTGCCTGATTTGTGTTCTCCACACGTACTCTATAGTGTAAAAGAGGGAATAACTTGATTATATATATGCATAGCACTGTGCATCTAAGCGAGCTTTTTCTTTTTTAATTGTGGTAAAATACCTATCATAAAATTTATTGTAATCATTTTCAAGTGTAATAAGTGAGCTTTTGGGCATAATACTTGTGTCTTCTCTGTTCCTCCAGCTTTAAAAGTTCCTTTTGTAAAAAACACAGTTACTGATGAGATAATGGTCAACTATAAAAAGGGGCATGCTGTAAAATAAAGGGAGACACTTCTCTTCTTGGAAAAAAAAAAGTTCCTTTTGTATAGAGAAACTATTCTTTTAATTGACAAGGTAAACACTGAGCTGAGACCACAATAGCTATTGCCCTGAAGTAAATAGTTCATTGTGGACACCACCAGCTTTGCCCCACCAGGCACCTGTCTACTGGATGATTCTATTTACACGGTGAAAATTGCTTGCTTTCAGACTCGCCTTGCCAACATTGAGGTCATCAGAAGCTGCAGAATGGGATTAATGCACTGTTTTTGTTGTTCTTTTTAGTGATGTAAACACTGTTTTTCTCTGCCCTTCCAAGCTAATTAGCCTCACTCTCAATTTTACTACCCATAATTGGTGGCTATTAGCTGTAAAAGTATTGTTTTCTTTTATGACTATTTATGGTATCCCAGGATGTGACTGGGCTCAGCCTGTCGACCTGTTGTGTGACATTGAGCAAGAGACTTAATCACTTAATTCTCTGAGCTCCTGCTCCCTCTGTGAATGCAAACTAGACAATCTACCCATTTTCTCCCATTCGATACTTTTGTAGTCCATTAAGAAACATCTTCTGGAGGATCCAAGCTGTTGCATTACCTGTTTTGACTCAGACTAATATGACAGCAGAGAGGAGCCTTGAAAGAATTATTTTTAATTATTTTTAGTGAGCCAGGGCCTATGTTTGGAATAGCATTTTCTCTTGTAAAATAGTTATCATTCTTGGTTCCCCACTTTTGCCTGCTGCCATCTGTGACCTGATAATCACATTAGGCATCTTCCTGCCAGCTCTCTCTCAGATGCCCATCGATAAAAACAAAGTACTTGACTTGAGGACTGGGCTGGCTTCGTGGGCATGCAGGTTGGGCAGTTGGCACAGGGCTCTTCAGAACGACTTGGGTTCAGTGATCTGGTGCCATCTTGAAATTCATAATAATTTTCGGCATTAGTTCCTTTGAATTATGTAGTCAGCCCTGCCTGGAGAATCCTTTCTAGAAAACACCATGCCCCTAAATGCACCATGCATTTTAATCCACAAACTATACCTATATATATATATATATATTATCTATTTGTATTAGAACATAAAATGAAAATTGTATTGTACTTGAGCGAAAAAGCGTGATGACCAGTCAAATTATGTTGTTGTTCACACAGATCTTCTAAAGGGAAGGGCTGAGGACCTGAAACCAGACCCTTATCTCCGTAAGAGTCCCTCTCTTGAGTCACTGAGCAGACCACCCTCTCTGAGCTTCGGGAACACTAGACTGCTGAGCGCTTCTACTGGGGGCCTGAAACCACAAAGCAAACTCAGGTATCATGTTTTCAACAGTGATAAATCAGAAAAGCACTGGACTGATAACCTTGTATCCTTCCTTCTGTTTTATCCCATACAGTCAATTTACTTCTACAAATATTTCCTGAATGAAAATAATTAAGACACAGTACCTGCCTTCAACAAGAGAGGAAGGCACTGGACAGAAGTACTGTGCAAAGTGAAATAAAGGGGTACTGAAAAAGAAGTATAAGCAGAGTATTTGGGTGCCTGTTGATTGGATCAAGAAGTGTGGAGAAAGGAAGTGGCATTTTTTTTTAAAGATTTTATTGGGGAATTGGGGGAGGGGAACAGACAAGTTGCTGTCCTTTTGTTCTTCAGTCTAGTTGTGGAGGACGTTGCTTCACTGGCCCATGTTGGTATTATCATTGCGCTCTTCCTGGCTGAGGCAGTCGCTCACTGGCCATTGGATGGATGGCCGCTCACGGTGGCTCATGGCAGCTCACGCCAGCTGCCGGCCAGCCCCACTGCAGCCTACGCCGTTGGCTGCAACTCACGGCAGCCCAGCTCCAGGTCGAGCTATTGTTCACCATCTTAGCTGTAGAGGGCGCAGTGTCACTGGCCCACATGTGGGATCCTAACTGGGACCATGCTGCTCGGAGCTGGTGTCCCAAGCCAACTCCTAACCAACGCGCCACTCGGCCAGCCCGGCATTTTTTTTTTTTTTTAAGATTTTTATTGGGGAATTGGGGACGGAAACAGTGCTGGGTAACTGGGGAAGGGGAACATTGTGTTTTCCCAGGACCCATCAGCTCCAAGTCAAGTTGTTGTCCTTCAGTCTTAGTTGTGGAGGGTGCAAGCTCAGCTCTAAGTCCAGTCGCCGCTTTCAACCTAGTTACGGGAGAGAGGGGGGTGGGGGTGTAGTCCACCATTCCCCGCGGGAGTCGAACCAGCAACGTTGTTGCACACTGAGCCATGCGGCTGCCTATCCGTGTTCAATCTTAGTTGGGGGGGGGGGTTGCGCAGCCCACCATCCCATACAGGTGTCGAACCCGCAACCTTGCTGCTAAGAGCACGCACTCTACCAGCTCAGCGGCAGCTCAGCTCGATCGCAGCTCACTGGCCCATGTGGGAATCGAACCAGCGACCCTGTTGCTCAGAGCTCACGCTCTTAACCAACTGAGCCACTCGGCTGGCCCATGGAAGTGGCATTTTTGCCAGGGGGCCTGAAGGTCTCATCATGAGGTCTGGCACAATGTTCAGGGAACTGTGGGTGGTTTAGTTTGGTAAGGCTGTGGGGTTTATGAGGACAGAGACTCTGACATATGTATAGTCAGTGTTGGCTGGGAGGTAGATAGATGGTTAAAATTTCACAGCTGGAAAGGCAGGTTGGAGCCATATTGCAAGTGGTCTTCATTGCCAAGGTAAGAGGTTTGAACTCATTTTGGTAAAGCAGTAGGGAACCATTAAGATTATGGAATATATATATATTTTTGAGTAGTGGTAGTGGTACAGTAAACAGTAGCATGTAAGGATTGGAGAAACATTTCAAAATCAGTGTTTAGACAGTACTTCAGCAGTGATGTGAAGGATGGAGAGGGAGATGGAAAGGACAGAGACTGCCAGGACCTGTCTTTGCTGTCACACCTCTGCCATCTCCTCCCTTTTTAATGCTCCTGGTCACCCAGGCCACAGGGAATCTCTTTCAATTACTTCGTCACCCTCCAGTCACTTGCCTGCTCCTCCATGTTGAGTCAGTCTTCCAAAACACTGAGTGCATCCTGTGCAGACCCTCCCAGAAATCTCCTGTGAATGTATTATCCACACTTTGGTGCACACTTCTTAGCCCAGTCTTCTAGATACTCCACAACTTGGGCCCACCCCAGCTCACCTGCCAGAATGTCCCAGCCCTTCACTCCATCAAAGCCTGTTTTATTCCCTGCTTTTGCAACATAAGGCAAGCGTGTCTGACTGCTTACAAGGTTCTGGCCTGAATTGTCTTCCTTTTGTCCTTTCATACTCCTAAATACCACTTCTCCTTCGAGAGCAAACCTCCCATGAGGTTTTAGCTGATTACCCTGGTAGACCTTCCCTTTCTTCACCTTTCATATCTTACCTTCATTTGGGTATTTAGTTCACTGTTGCATAGCATACATGGCTTTGCCCTGATTTAGGCCAAAACTTAGTAGGCAGTAAGAACTTCATCTTACATTTTGATATTCTCAACCCCTTGTGTTGTGCAACACACTTAGCATTTCACTCAGTAATTACTGATGAATAGGTAGATAGATGAGTATACAGAATTGGCTACTTTAGGAAAAATGGCTTTTTCACAGACATCACAGCTACCATTATGGAGTATTGTAAGAGGATTTTGTAGATGTTTGAATAAGTTCAGCTCTTGTCAGATCTTTGGGTGTAGCCTATATTTGAAACCAAATAGATGAAGTCATATCATACAGAGGTTTCATTTAAAGCCCAAGATATTGCATGTCAGTCTTGTTTATGTGCAAGAGATTTAAATAATTAAAACAGGTTTTAAGGATCAAAATTAGTGCTCTTCTGAAATTGCTCTTTTCTTTATGCCAAAAATGCATACAAAAGGCTATGTGTATATTAATATGCTATTTATGTTGTACTCTTAATCATAAAAGCTTAAATTTGTGAAATTAATTTATTTATTTTATATTCATGTTATTGAGACAAATCAATGACAGGATAGAAATTACTTTGGAAGTTCTCATCCTATTATTATTCTTTATTTTTTTGCAATCATATCTAGTTAGCTCTATTTTTTTTTTTTTTAAAGAAAACTGTTTGGTAAATGTTTTAGTCATCCATTTATACAGAAACTCTTTTCCAAAGCTTCATTTCAGTCTTCCCTAATTTGTCAGGTCTAGAAATTCAGCTCTAAGAAATGAAATAAGACTAGGCATGGTAAACACAGGCAAAGTCATCATAACTTCATAGTTAACAGCGACTCTGACTACAGAAGTTCATGGGATTGAGTTTACACATATGCCAGAGACAAGGAAAAGCAGCCATCAGATTATACAAGAAACATTTTCATTCAAGTACAGTTTTTCTTAAAATTTCTCTACATAGATTCAGATTGCTAAGGTCTAGAATCATTCTATTACTCCTTTTTAATTCATTTAAAACATTTTTATTTAGTATTAGATGGATAAAAACAATAATAATAAAATATGTGTAAGGTATAAAGAATATTAACAAAATGGAGATCTACCTGGATACCCCACCTTCCAGTTTAAGGAAGAGAAAATTGTTATTACCTTTGAAATTTCCTATCAGCTCCTTCCATTTACATCACCTCCATACCCCTCCCTTGCCCCCCTCCAAGGTCACCACCATTCTGAATTTTATATATGTCTTTACTTGTTTTTCTTCAGTTTCACCATGTGTTTTGTTTACCCAAATAATATATTATTTAAATTGCATATTTAAAATTTTGTATACGTGGAAACATTGTGAGTTTTTTAAATTAAAAATTGTTCCTGCTTTTCATGCAAGTTATTGTATACATCTGTAATTCATTAGTTTGTACTGCTACATAGTATTCTGTTGTATAAATATACCATGGTTTATCCATTTTCCTGATGATGTACATTTGTTTTTTTCCAATTTTTGCTATTGTAAAAAGCTGTTGCAGACATTCTTGTATTTGTGCCCTGATGAGATATATACATCTAGGAGTAAATCCTGTTACTATGAATTATTGCCTGCTACAATTGATACTCCAGAGGTTCTCGCCCTCTGTCCATTTTGCTCTATGCCTGCACTCTTATACAAGGGGCAGGGAAATAGTACTGTTCACAATGTAATAGGAATGTAATTTGCATTTCATGACATCCATCATAGAGGAAACTGTTTGATCTTAAACCCCTTTTTAGTATTTGGATAATTTTAGATAGCATAAAAATGAACATAGATGTTTATAGAAAACGGAGGGTGGGGCACTTAAACTCTTACTCTTGGAATGGCATGGTATTAAGTAAAATCACTTCCTTTGGGCTCTCAGAATTGAGTTAATGTGTCATGAACTGAGAAGTGTGAGTATCACCTTTGGAGTGTGCAAAGCCCTTCTTTTGAGTCATTTTCACCTTTCACCTCCAGTCCCATCACCTCCCCATAAGCAGCCAATCTGATGTTTTTAAAATGCCCTTCCGACCTACCTTTTATATGATATGTAGATATAGACGTAGCCTTGAAACATAGTGTTTTTTTCTATAGGTGTCTTTAATTAAAATGATACTTAAGTAAATAAATAAAAGGCAAGATGGACAGAGCAACAGATGGATTTAAAAAATAAAACCTCTCCCTAAACCTCTGATATCTAGGAAATATAATTTTATTTTTCTTTTATACCATGAGACATCATAAAAATGTATTGTTAATGTGACTGATTTAGTTATTATTCCTTACAGCCTCACTGGAATGACCTAGACTTTTGCTTTTCTAATCTAGTTATTTATTTCTTATATATTTGAGTGTTGTAAAAATTAGCACCTTCTCTTTACTGTGTGCCCTTCTTTCTAACTAGTGTGGAAAGGAGAGACCCTCTGGCTGCCTTGGCCCGGGAATATGGCGGCTCCAAGCGCAATGCTCTACTAAAATGGTGCCAGAAGAAGACAGAAGGTTATGCGGTAAGTGACTATGTCAGCCAGTGTCCAACCAGCTCTGGGCAGTAGTTGTCCTGTATGTGTTCTGTATTTTCGCGTGCTTGTCTGGGCCAATGTGCATGTTATTGTCATCTTTCTATTTTCCTAGGCAGGGCTGGCAGGCAGTTTGCTATCTGTGTGCTGCACAGAGGTACCACCCAGACAAAGAGGCAACTGGGACTGATAGCCAGTCTGCACTCCAACAAACCACATGCCTAGGTGTGGACCTGCATCTCCTGTGGGAAGGGCTACCTATTCTTTGCGTAGAGGAGATGTAAACTCCCCAAGCAGTTTACCCAACAGGCTGCTTCAGCCTAAGGAGATAGCTTTTGCTGAATTCTCTTCCCAAAGAGGGTACCTTTTCCTAATTCACATAAACATTCCACAGAGCTGAGCCTTCAGAATGACTCTTACTTTTAAGAGTTGTTTGTATTTAGTTAGGAGTTTCAGTTTACCAGGACAGTATTTGTTTTCTGTGAAAAGTTAGACAAGGAAGTAATACCTGACATAATAAGTTCAAGCTTTTTCATTATGAATATCATACACAAAGATAAAAGTGCATCAAATATAAATTAGTTTCATGAATTATGAAGTGAAAACCCATGCAGTCACTACTCACATCCAGAAATAGAGCTCTGCCAGGTCTCCCACACCTTTCTTTTTTCTTTTCTTTTTTTTTTTTTTTAAAGATTTTGTTGGGGAATTGGGGAAGGGGACCAGCCAAGTTATTGTTCTTCAATCTTAGTTGTGGAGGGTGCAGCTAGCTCAGCTCCAAATCCAGTCGCCATCCGGCCGCCCTTTGGCAGCTCCCGGCCTCTCAGCTCAAGGTGCCGTGTTCAATCTTAGTTGTGGAGGGTGCAGCCCACCATCCCATGTGGGAGTTGAACCAGCAACCTTATTGTTAAGAGCACTCGCTCTAACCACTGAGCAATCCAGCCGCCTGTCAGCAGCTTGTGGCAGCTCAGCTCAAGGTACTGTGTTTAATCTTAGTTGCGGGTGGGCAGAGCCCACCATCCCATGTGGGAGTCGAAACTAACCTTGTTGTTAGGAGCACATGTTCTCACTAGCTGAGCCATCCTGCTACCTGTTGGCAGCTCAGTTTGGGCACAGCTCACTGTCCCATGTGGGAATCGAACCGGAGTCCCTGTTGCTCAGAGCTCACACTCTTAACCAACTGAGCCACTCGAAAAGCCCGCCCCAAACCTTTCTAATCATAACCCCTCCCTATGCTCTACAATAACTGTTATCCTCCATTTTCCTTATAGTTTTCTACAAAAATATGCATCCTTAAATGCTATATTAGTTTTGCCTTCATTTGAACTTTACAAAATGGAGTAAAAAACTAATATTTGCATCTGGCTTTTTTCACACAGTATTAAGATTTACATATAGCTTGTTGCGTATAGCTTTAGTTTTATCTATGTACATAAAAACCTATAGATTTATCCATATCATGTTGCCTGTAGCTGTAGTTTGTTCATTTTCTTCACCATTTAGTAACCAATTATGTGATCCTACCATTATTTATTTATCCATTCTATTATTTATGGACAGATGGGTTATTTCCAGGCTGAGGCTATTATAAAAAATGCTGGTATGTTCTTGCTCATGTCTTTTGGAACACGTGCTCATTCCTTCTGGATCTATAGCTGAGGGACTTACTGGGCTATGAGATATGCATATATTTGAGTATAGTAGATAGTGCCAAACAGGTTTCTGAAGCAGTTGTATAGTTTACCTCCCAACAGCAATGTATGAGAGAGCTATTTCTGTACATTCTCACCAATACTTAGTGTTGTCAGTCTTTTTACTTTCTGGTCATCAGATGAGTGGATGAGTGTGTAGTGGTAGCTCATTTTTGTGATTTGCATTTCTCTGCTGGCTAAGGAGGTTGAGCACCTTTTCATATGCTGCTTGGACTTTTGGGTAGTCTCTTTGGGGATGTGCTTGCTCAGGTCTTTTGTGCATTAAAATCAGGTTGTCTTTCTTTTCCTTATTGCTTTCAGGAGTTCTTTATATGTTCCGGTTATAAGTCCTTTGTCAAATAGATGTATTATTGCAAGTATCTCCCAGGGTGGCTTGAATTTTTGCTTTTTTGTTGAACAAAATTGTTAATCTTAAGTCTAATTTATCAGTCTCTTCTGTAATGATTAGTGATTTTTGTATCTTGTTTAAGAAATTTTTGTCTATTTCAAGGTCATGAAAATATTTTTCTGTGTTTTATTCTAGAAGTTGGATTATTTTACCTTGCTCATTAAATAGACACCCTCTTTAAAGTTGCCAAATCCTACTCCCTTCTCCTTACTTAGTCCCATTCTAAGGGGTGAAGCCATCCCAAAAGGGAGGCCATCACAATAACAACATCCCTCGGCATGCCTGCCATGCCACCAAGAGAAAGCTGATTCTAGGAGGTGTTAGGGTAAAGAAAGCAGCAATGGTAACAGAAAATTGAAGATGAGAAAGAGCAGTCGGCCAGGAAAGAAGTCTTGGCTGTGGCTGAGCCACTTAGGACCACTGATGGCTGACTGCACTGTCATTTCCCCACCTCACAGAAATGGATTGAGAGAAGTGTTAGAATAGGTAGGAAAAGGCAATTAAAATTTCCAGGAGGAATTGGCCCTTTAACATATAATGTTATAATTATATTGCAGGGAGGGGTTATATGGTAAGATATTTCTAGTCTAACAGAATATTTCCAGCTGTCATGAGTTTTTTGTTTTGTTTCGTGAATATCTTAATTAAACTAGTTTTTTTTTTAATTTTTATTGGGGAATTGGGGGAGGGGAACAGCGTTGGGGAATCGGGGAAGGGGAATAGACAAGTTGCTGTCCTTTTGTTCTTCAGTCTAGTTGTGGAGGACGTCGCTTCACTGGCCCATGTTGGTATTATCATTGCCCTCTTCCCGGGTGAGGCAGATCGGTTGCCGACCACTGGATGGCTGCTCACACTGGCTGCCAGCCACTCACGGTAGCTTATGGCAGCCCGCTGCAGCTTCACTGCAGCCTATGCCATCACCAGCGACTTAACAGCAGCCCAGCTCCAGGTCGAGCAGTTGTTAACCATCTTAGCTATAGAGGGCGCAGCATCACTGGTCCTAATGTGGAATCTGAACTGGGGCCCTGCTGCTCAGAGCTGGCATCCCAAGCCAACTCTTAACCAATGCGCCACTCAGCCGGCCCAATTAAACTAGTTTTTGAAAGCGTTTTATGTCTGATGAAACCCAAAATTCATTTTACCTGAAGAGTACTTTTAATTCATTGTTAAATCTGTAAATTTAGAGAGAAATAAAAATCGTATGTATCTGACCTATCCTCTGTTCACAAAATATCCTCTGTGTAGACCTGTTTGTCTAAGATGCCTCATAAGCCTTCTAAATCTTATTCTCTCAGACTTAGGAACCCAAAAATAAATTGTAGAAAATTCAAATGGTTCACAGTCTTTTTGAAAACCAGTAGCCATGTGCATTTCTACTTAAAATAATTTTCTTTTTACCCACCAATATATAGTGTGATAGGTTGTGTCAAAACTCCCTGTATATTAAATTGACAAATTTTTATTGAGGGGCTTATTCAGTGTGAGATAATAAATATTTCAGGTGCTGGGAAATCAGCATTGAAGGAAACAGACAAAATCTCTGCTCTCATGGAATTTACATTCTCATGGGTTGTGTCAATTAATTAAAATAAAAATGTAAAATATGTACTGTATTAGAAGGTGGTATGTACTATGGAGAAAAATAAAGCAGGATCTGGGAATATTGGGTGTACAGATACAATTTTAATGCAAAGGTAGAGAAGGTGACATTTGAGCGATAGCTCACCTCACTTAAAGGAGTTGAAGACTTTTGTGTTTTCATCAAGGTTTATTGCACACCAAGTGCTAGGCTTGGAAGATCAGAATAAGGAGACTATCACTTTAGCAACTGTATCGGTTGGAATTTAAGTAACACAAGGTGGCCTCTCCAATTTAGCAGTGCAGAAGAGTTAGAATAGCAGGCCAGACCCACATAACTGAGTCCTTGTTCAGCTTTCTGGTGTCTTGAGGGTTAGATCACGTGAAAACATAAGCATGCACTCACTATGAGTGAGGGCGCACTGGGTGCCGCTCGTCACAGAGGAGACCCTTCCAGACATGCTGCTCAACTGATTTCATTGGATCTTTTTTGGAAAAAGCCAGATTTCCAGGAAGGCTCTGCAAATTACACTCAGTCCCAAGCTTGATGCTTGTTAAATGCCTGTTAGCTATATCCCAAACCGGGGTAGACCTGACCCCTGGAACCCCTACATCTCCCCTTCTTGTCTGCTTATAGTTCCTATTTGGGGTTAGAACAGAGAAATTTCCATCTCGAATGTAAATACCAGTGAGGGTTCTGAAAGGGCAGAAAGCCAAGATGGTGGATGTGATAGGCAGAATTCTAAGAAACTCCAAGTGACCCTCCCCCTTGTATAATTTCCTCCCTGCATATAGCAAAAGGGAAATTATCTGGGCAGACCTAACACATGAACCCATTAAAATTTGAGAGTTTTCTCTGAAGTATAAAAAGGACTCAGGGCACTGTTGGTGGGTTTGGAGTTGGAGGAAGCACGTGAGAAGGAGCTGAGGCGGTCCCTGGCTGACAGGAAACCTCAGCTGTCTATCATTAATGCTTTAGTGCTGAGGTCCTTCCAATACCCAGGAGACGCCTTGGAGGACGCTCTGAAAGTTTTGAAGTTGACAACAATAAGTGCGCTGCTGTAGGGTCCTTTTCATTTCTCTCCCTGTCCTCATGCCCTCAGATCTCAACTAGCAAGGATGGTCACTTTGCCTGGCCTCCTGCCTTCCCTTAGCTGAGGGATGCTGGGCTGTAACACACCCTGATAAATGGGTGGAATTAGCTCCAAATCTCTGCAAAGTCCTGGTAATTCCCAGGAAGCATGACTAGGTGGGGCCACTGCATACCTCTGCAGGTGGCACCTTGGCTGTGTGCCTAGGGCCTGCTGTTTCTG